ACTGGACTGAAAAATGCAAAAACAAAAAGGAAACCAGAGAGGCAGGACCCCACAATATGGCAAGCATAAATCCCTTCTTTAAGGAAATCTGGTTAAAAAAAAAAAAAAAAAAAACTAGGCCAGGCCACAACACACATCCAATAATGCTCAAGAATGTAGAGCAATAAAGATCTCTGGGAATGTGGCCACTTCTAATCTCAGAAGAAAGACTACTGCGAAGCAATTAACAAACAAAATACAAGGGAAGGAAGCACACTGCAATACTAGATTACCACCAGATTATAAAGTGCTGACAATCAGTTGCAATCTAAGGTGATAGCTCTTTGAAGACTCCTCCAGAACTAACTTTTCCAAACCATCTAACACTGGCAATCAGAGAAAACACTCACTTCCAATTAGCGTGGGAGTGAGATAATGTAAACGCTCCTCTTGGCCAGGTGTGGTGGCTCATGCCTGTAATCCCAGCACTTTAGGAGGCCGAGGCCAGGAGTTCGAGACCAGCCTGGCCAACATGGGGAAACCCCATCTTTACTAAAAGTACAAAAATTAGCTGGGCATGGTGGCGCACACCTGTGATCCCAGCTACTTGGGAGGCTGAGGCATAAGAATCACTTGAACCCAGGGAGGTGGAAGTTGCAGTAAGCCAAGATCATGCCACTGTACTCCAGCCTGGGCAACAGAGTGAGACTCCATCTCAAAAAAAAAAAAAAAAAAAAAGAAAAGAAAAGAAAAAAACACTCCTCTTGCACAAATATGGTAGTAGTTTGAACCAGCCCTAGATCCTTTGCGCAAATGAATTAACAAATCTGCAAATTTGAAAGAACTACTCATTTCAGCTGTGCGGGCTGCCAGCCACATTCAGCTTCAATTGCATTAAGCGTGCTCCTAGCCCTATGCCCTAGAAACTCCACTGGACCAGGTGACCAGGCCCAACAGGCCCAACCTTGCCACTTAATCTGTGACAGCCTCAGGAAAGTTACACAGTCTTTTTGAATCTTGGTTTCCTCATAGGAGGGATTAAAAAACAAAACAAACAAACAAAAAAACTTGAATGAGATAGTTTCCAAGTTGTCTCCAAATTCAAATATATGATTTAATACATAAGCCTGAAGACTTTTAATCCCTACAAGATTATTATTTTTGCCCTCTTTTGGATTCTCTCTACTTATTACACACCTCACCCAACACTAAGCAAGTGCCTTTAACACCCACATAGCACTAGTGTGGCCAGAACTAAAAGTGAAAGCTAAGCAGCTAAGCAGTCTTTTTGAAATATACTTGCTTGGGAATACAGGGTAAAGAGTAGAGAAAACCATGACTGCCTTTTTTTTTTTTTTTTTTTTTTTTTTTTTTTTGAGACGGAGTCCCACTCTGTCGCCCAGGCTGGAGTGCAGTGGTGAAACCTCAGCTCACTGCAACCTCTGCCTATTGGGTTCAAGCGATTCTCGTGCCTCGGCCTCCCCAGTAGCTGGGACTACAGGCCGCGCCATCACGCCCGGCTAATTTTTGTATTTTTGGTAGAGATGGGGTTTCACCATGTTGACATCTGGTTGAATGTTGGTCAGGCCAGTGTTGAACTCCTGACCTCAGGTGATCCGCCCGCTTAGGCCTCCCAAAGTGCTGGGATTACAGGCGTGAGCCACCGCGCCCGGCCCCACGACTGCTTTTTCAACAAGCTTCCAAAAAAGTGAAACCCTAAGGCGCTTCTCTACGTTGCCCTGTCCCACAATCTCCACCAAAAGCAGCCTAGACCCCAGGCCCATCAGTCTGCAGTGACCGCGGTCTCAGGAGACGGGCTCCTACCCTGGCGTCCGGTCTCTGAAGTCTGCGTATAGTCCAGGGAGTTGGGCAGGCTCTGGCTGCGGCCATGGCGCTGGGTCCGTTTCCATCGCTGGCTGTAAAGGAGGCACAGGAATCCAAGGCCGGCGGCGGTACCCAGCAACAGTCCCAGCCCGGCACGGGCACCACCCAGGGCTCCCAGTCTAGACATGCTGCACCCGCGGCCAGCAGAAGCCACCGGGAGCAGGCGGGCGGGCGTAGGGAGAGAGAGAGATTCGTGAGTCTGGTAAACCCACCCCCAAGACAGAACCCCGGCAGGTACCCCCTTGCCCAAACCCTGAGCTCCTGACTACCTGCATCCCAGTCTGAACCCTAAGGCTTCCTCCAGCCCCCTGGGCCCCACTGCCGCTCCCCTCACCCAGCCTGGACATAGCCACCCCTCCAGCACATCCTCCGATCCGGGTCACAGAGTACGGCTTCTGGGCCTTCAACCCTCCACCTCAGCCTCACAACACTGCAGACCACAAACCCGCCGCCCTGGCTGCAAACTCCCGGCCTTCCCCTGCGGCCCAGGAACGCGCTCTGGCCTGGCAGGAGACCCACTCAAAACCTTACCCGGCCGCCAGCCACCATGGCAGCAGCCGCCGCGGGCTCACGCTGTCAGTGACCGTGACGTCAGACAGACGGCGCCAGCGGCTCGGCGCCCTGAGGGAAGGCGCACGGAGATGACCACGCCGGCCCCACCCCCGGCCTGTTTCCCTCAGGAGCGAGGCCACGGGCGCCGGCGGAGGGGCGGAGTCAGCACAGCGCAAAAGGAAAGCAAAAAGGGTCCGAAGGCTGAGGAAAGGCGGGAAAGCGGGGAGACTTCTTGGGCGGACGCTGGCGCAGTCACCCTCACCGTCCGGCATCCAGGCCTCCATTTCCCTCCGGTCACACCGGCTTACTTGCTGCTCCCGGAATACGCTCAGCATATTCACACTTTCTCCCTGCGCTTCTGCCCGGACCTCCCCTCTGTACCTGGAAAACGTCACCCTCTCCCCACATTTTATTTTTATTTTGTAGAGACTGGGTCCCGCTCTCCTGGTCTCCAGCGATCCGCCTGCCTCGGCCTCCCAAAGTGCGTGAGCCGCCGCACCCGGCCATAAACCTTAAACCTAACGTACCGTTTTATAATTCTATTTTACTCTTGTAATTGTATGCAACTTCTAATTTTGGCAACTAAAAAGACCGATTTTATGGACTACGATGACGATTGTATTGTGAATATTTCTTAAGAGTTAAAATTTTCTTTAGTGAAAGAAGAAAGTTCTAGGCCAGTTCTCCCAATACCCTTGACTAGATCTTATATTTCTTTACGCTTTAATTGTGAGTTACTGTATACATATAAGAATACAGGAGGCCTGCGGTGGTGGCATGTGACTGTAGTCCCACATACCCTGGGGGCTGAGATGGGAGGATCACTTGAGCCCAGGGTGTGGAGGCTGCAATGAGCCATGAGCACTCTGGGCAACAGAAGTCAGGATTTCGAGGCCACCCTGGCCAACCTGGCGAAACCCCGTTGTTAGGCAGGAATCTAGACCCAACATGGCAGCGTTACCCGGCTAGCAGGCCTTTTGTTAAAGACTCCCTTCACCCTTGTACACACCCTCAGACTTACATGCGTCAGAGTTCCGGCTGGGCAGTCACACGCCCAGTGACCTGCAGCTCACGTGCATTCCACAAGTTCGTCAACAGCAATTTCCGTCGACAGTTTCCAAAGACCCCTTCCTCATGACCCTTACTCAACTCCTGCCCTAGTAGTTTCAAGACCCCCCAGGCCCTGTTTGCACAACCAGCTTCCCTACCTCTCAGGCTATAAGAAGCCCCCACCCTCCTCCCTCAGCGCGACTTCCTCGGCCCACACCTTTGGACTGAGGAACCTCGCCCGCAAGCCCTAATAAAAGCTATTCTCACTGCCATTTATTTGCCTTGTGTCTTCGTTCCCGGTTCAGCTCCAGCCTCAGTTTACCTTTACATTTGGTGCCGAAACCAGGGAGGAGACCCCCTCCCCAGACCCCTGCTGGGTCGGGCAGCCTCTCCTCTCCCCGAGCTGGGATCCCCTCCTCAAGCCTGGCGCCGTCTCACCAAATTTAAGACTCAATTCGATCACTGCTGGGTAAGTTTCCCCCGTCCTGAAGGCTCCCTCCGGGAGTCCCTGTCCGAAACGCACGGCCGTGTCAGGGGCTCTCTCCCGTCAGCTGTGACCTCAGCACCAGGGACTAGGAGACGTCCAACCTCCCCGGAAGCCACCATACCCCGCACTCCGCGTGGCAGTGAGGACGCTCCCATTGCCTCCGGACTGCCCGCCTTAAGACCATGGGAACTACCCAGTCCAAACCAGACGGAAAATCCCCTCTGAGGTGCCTCTTGGCTAATTTCCAGACTTTAAGTCTCAGCCAAGACCTAAAAAAAAGCGGCTCATTTTCTTCTGCACAGTAGCATGACCGCAGTATAAATTGGATAATCAGTCTCAGTGGCCTGCAGAAGGCACTCTAGACTTTAACATTCTCACAGATCTGACCAACTTCTGCAAGAGACTAGGCAAATGGTCCGAGATACCCTATGTTCAGGCCTTTTGGGACTTGCGTTCTCGCCCAGATCTCTGCGCCCAATGCTCGTTAGCTCAAGTTCTGCTCGCAAAGTCTTTTCCCTCGGGCAAGGAGAGGGATGATTACTCCTCTTTTTCTGAGCCTCCTGACACCCTATCCTGGCCACCCCTCCGGTCTCCTGCCCAACCTCCTCCTTACCCTGACCCACCGTTATCCCCATCCTTGTCAATGCCGCCCCACCCTTCCCCCCCTCCTGTGCCCTTACCAAACCCGACAGATTCTGTCTCACCTACCTCCACCTCCTCCCCTTCCTGGCCTGTCTCAGCCCATACTCGGTCCAGGACCGACCTCCTGTGTCCCTTATGAGAGGTGGCAGGCGCCGAAGGAGTAGTCTGGGTCCATGTGCCGTTTTCATTGGCAGACTTGTCTAAGGTTGAGGAGTGTGCAGGCTCCTTTTCGGCCAATCCTACTGGTTATATCAAAGAGTTTAGGTGTCTATGCCAGGAATATGATCTCACCTGGCACGACCTTCATGTCGTTATGACCTCAACCCTGTCTCTTGAGGAGCAGGAACGCATCCTAGCGGCAGCCAGGCAGCATGCTAACCAGGTTCATTTAACTGACCCTGCCATGCCAGGCAGTGCTCTCGGCTGAGCCCAACTGGGACTACCAGGTGGGGCAGGCAGGCTGCCGCTGCCGCCAAGACATGATGGTTCAGTGCCTTCTTGCCGGCATGCAGGCAGCCTCTAACAAATCAGTCAACTTTAACAAACTAAAGGAGGTAGTCCAAGGCGCAGATGAAAATCCAGCTGTTTTTCTTAACGGGCTGACTGAGGCACTTATTCAGTACACCCGCCTTGACCTTGTCTCCCCTGCAGGAGGAACCATCTTGGCCTCATATTTCATTTCTCAGTCGGCCCCTGATAGCCAAAAAAAAAATTTTTTAAAGGCGGAGGAATGCCCTCAAACTCCCATCCAGGACTTAGTCAAACTGGCCTTCAAGGTCTACAACTCCAGGGAGGAAGCAGCTGAGGCCCAACGACAGGCCAGGCTAAAACTGAAGGTACAACTCCAAACCCAGGCCTCGGTAGCAGCCCTGAGGCTGGCCGGCTCCAGGGGCTCCCAGAAAGGAGGTACTCCCCGAGCGCCATCTGGTGCCTGCTTCAAGTGCGGCAACGACAGCCACTGGGCCAGGCAGTGCCCTAACCCAAAGGAGTCAACTCACCCCTGTCCGAACTGTCGGCAGATGGGCCACTGGAAGTCAGACTGCCCCAACCTAAGGACGGTCGCTGCGCCTTCACGTGACGACCCTCCTCCAGGTATTGGAGGCGCCTTCCAGCTCCTCGACACTGACGAAGATTGAAGAGGCCCAGACTCGGGGACCCCTCTCACTCTCGCCGAGCCGGGGTTATGCTCCAGGTAGTGGGTAAGTCCATATCCTTCCTTATGGACACGGAGGCTACCTACTCTGTTTTACCTTCCTTTAGTGGCCCCAGCCACCCCTCCACTGTCACGGTCATGGGAATTGATGGCACTCCCTCCACCTACCGCCAGACTCCTCCTCTGTCTTGCCGCTTGGATGGCTCCCTCTTCTCGCACTCATTTCTTATCATTCCTTCGTGCCCAGTCCTCTTGTTAGGACGAGATCTCCTCTCCAAGCTAGGGCCTCAGTTCACTTCCGACCCAACCCCTCCCCACACCTCGCGTTCCTCTTCCCCCTCCTCTCACCTGACAAACCCCGCCAGGCTGACCCCCCACTCCCGTTTCCAGTCCCCATTAACCCTAAGGTGTGAGACACCTCCACCCTGATCATTGCCCAGCACCACACTCCGGTCCACATCCGGCTAAAAGACCCTTCCAAGTTCCCGTCTAGACCCCAGTTCCCTATCTCCCTTGAACATCGACAGGGATTAAAACCTATCATTACATGCCTGCTCCGACAGCCCATTCTAGTTCCTGCCAGCTCACCATGCAATACTCCTATCCTGCCTGTACGGAAAAGCTCTGGGGACTATCGCCTCGTGCAGGACCTACATCAGTGAGGCAGTCGTCCCTACCTTTCCAGTAGTTCCTAATCCATATGCACTCCTCTCACGAGTTTCCCTGACCCTACTCATTTCACTGGCCTTGACCTGAAAGATACCTTCTTTACCATCCCTCTCCACCCAGACTGCCACTTTCTGTTTGCCTTCACATGGGAGGACCCAGACACTCATGTTTCTTCCCCGTTGACCTGGACTGTCTTGCCTCAAGGGTTCTGAGATAGCCCCCATTTTTTCGGACAGGCACTGGCACAGGACATCTTCCTCTGCCCCCTAACCCATAGCACCCTTCTACAATACGTAGATGATCTATTACTATGTAGTCCTTCCTGGGAGTGCTCCCTTGCAGACACTGCTACACTTCTAAGTTTTCTAGGCAACTGAGGTTATTGGGTTACCCTGGCTAAGGCTCAACTTTGCACCCCTTCTGTCACCTACCTAGGCATACTACTCACACCCACTACAAAAAGCCTTACGGCAGATAGAATAAGCCTCATTAAAACTCTCCAGCCTCCTCAGGATGCGGAAGAGATCTTGTCCTTCCTAGGACTGGTAGGGTATTTCAGGCATTGGATTCCCAGCTTCGGGGTCCTAGGCAAGCCCCTCTACCAGGCTGCCAGGGAGACACCCACCAGACCGCTGTCCGACCCCTCCTTGGTCGCCAACTCTTTCAAGAAGCTTCAGGACTGTCTCCTTTCTGCCCCTGCTCTCTCTCCCCAACCCCCTTCAGCCCTTTCATCTATTCACCGAGGAGTGCCAGAAGGTAGCCACTGGCCTCCTAGCCCAGCCGGTTGGATCCACATACCAGGCTGTGGCCTATCTCTCCAAGCAGTTAGATCCCACAGTCCAGGGCTGGCAACCTTGTCTGCGAGCCCTGGCGGCTGCCACCGAACTTACCCAAGAGGCCCTTACTTAGGTGGTGGCAGTCATCTGTGGCCGGTTAAGTCCTACCCTTTCTAAGCCCCTTACTAATCATTGGCTTCTTGCTACTCATAGCTCCCTGTGTCCTCCACTTCATCCAGGACCGCATGAAAGAAGTCTCCCAGGTCACTTTCAATCAGCTGCTCCACCCCTATACCCAAGTTCCGACCTCCGAAAAACCCCACGATGACCCATACCAGCAGGAAGCAGCCGGAGGAACACGTCGCCCCATTTTCTTATTAGAAAGAGGTCGGAATGTTAGGCAGGAATCTAGACCCAACATGGCAGCGTTACCCGGCGTAGCAGGCCTTTTGTTAAAGACTCCCTTCACCCTTGTACACACCCTCAGACTTACATACGTCAGAGTTCCGGCTGGGCAGTCACACTCCCCCATGACCTGCAGCTCACCTGCATTCCACAAGTTCGTCAACAGCAATTTCCGTCGACAGTTTCCAAAGACCCCTTCCTCATGACCCTTACTCAACTCCTGCTCTAGTAGTTTCAAGACCCCCCAGGCCCTGTTTGCACAACCAGCTTCCCTACCTCTCAGGCTATAAGAAGCCCCCACCCTCCTCCCTCAGCGCGACTTCCTCGGCCCACACCTTTGGACTGAGGAACCTCGCCCGCAAGCCCTAATAAAAGCTATTCTCACTGCCATTTGCCTTGTGTCTTCGTTCCTGGTTTGGCTCCAGCCTCAGTTTACCTTTACACCCGTCTCTACTAAAAGTACAAAAATTAGCCAGGCATGGTGGTGCGTGCCTGTAATCCCAGCTACTCAGGAGGCTGAGCAGGAGAATCACTTGAACCCGGGAGGTGGAGGTTGCAGTGAGCCAAGATGTTGCCACTGTACTCCAGCTTGGGCGACAGAGTGAGGCCTCCTCTCAAAATAAAAACAATAACAAAAACATATATATACTTTATTTTGGAGGAAATAAAAATTCATTTTCTCTGGAAACCTTCCCAGACCACCACCTTGGTGAAATTAAGCTTTTCACCCTGCTTTGCTCCTGTGGCTCCATGGCTCCACTGCCTCCATTATCCTTTTTTTTTTTTTTTTTAGACAGAGTTTTGCTCTTTTGCCCAAGCTGGAGTACAGTGGAGTGACCTCGGCTCACTGCAACCTCCGCCCCCGCTCCTGGGTTCAAGGGATTCTCCTGCCTCAGCCTCCTGAGTAGCTGGAATTACAGGCGTGCGCACACCTGGCTACTTTTTGTATTTTCAGTAGAGACCGGATTTCTACATGTTGGTCAGGCTGGTCTCGAACTCCTGACCTCAAGTAATCTGCTCGCCTCAGTCTCCCAAAGTGCTGGGATTACAGGCGTGAGCCACTGCGCCAGGCCCATTATACTCTGTTCTGTGATAATTCGCTTTCTAGTCTGTCTACACCACTGCACTACCCACTCTTCCAGGACAGGGTTCATTCCTGATTCATCCCAGGTCCCCTGTGCCTGGCACAGCTCTAATGCAAAAGCATCCATAAAAGCTGAATGCAGGAAGGAAGAAAAGGCATGACCGACAGCACACCCTGCCATTTTGACAGTGTGTTCTCAGCTGTGGCAGAAAGCTCAGTGGCAGAAGAACAATTTCTCCTCTCTGTACCAGGGGAGGAAGCTCTGCGAGATAAACAGATTGTGATGAGAGGCTAGGCCAAATGGGCAGACCAAGCAGGGGAATTCATTTCCCCCTGGATATTAAAGATGTTATCTGGCAGGCGCGTGTCTGCCAGGGCAATCAGCAGTGTGGCGGGTGGTTCTGGACAGAGCTCTTTATCTTGTGCTGCATCTGCAGACCAGCTTCGCAAATGTAATAAAGGCCTGGCTGCCTGAGATATGCATTGCCCACCTTCCCACCCCCTCCACAGCCCAGCCGGAGAAGAGAGCAGACCAGACCCCAAACTCTCGTCCTGCCCTCTGCCCAGAACATCTGCCTCATCTACCTGGCTCTTCCAAGAGAGGTGACAAGTCAAATGCCTTGAGATGGTGGCCTTACCCTTGTGTATAAAGTTTAAGGTTCTTGATGCCTTAAAAAATAATTATTTTTTTAGGCCGGGCATGGTAGCTCACACCTGTAATCCTAGCACTTTGGGACGCCGACTTAGGTGGATCATGAGGTCAGGAGTTCAAGACCAGCCTGGCCAATATGGTGAAACCCCATCTCTACTAAAAAATACAAAAATTGACTGGGTGCAGTGGCTCACACCTGCAATCCCAGCACTTTGGGAGGCCAAGGTAGGTGGATCACGAGATCAGGCCAACATGGTGAAACCCTGTCTCTTCTAAAAACACAAAAAATAAATTAGCCAGGTATGCCATGATCTCAGCTCACTGCAACCTCCGCCTTCCAGGCTCAAACTATCCTCCCACCTCAGCCTCCTGAGCAGGTGGGACTACAGGTACATGCCGCCATGCCCAGCTAATTTTTAAAATTTTTTGTAGAAACAGGGTCTCCCTGTATTCCCCAGGCTGGTCTTAAACTCCTGGGCTCGGGCATTCCCCCTGCCTCGGCCTCCCAAAATGCTGGGATTACAGGCATGAGCCACCATGCCCAGCCCTTTTAGAAATATATATGTGTGTGTGTGTGTGTGTGTGTGTGTGTGTGTGTGTATAGGGTGCGTCGTAGGTAAGTATCATTCACACCAACTTGCAAGCCCAGCAGTAGTGGGATTGTTGACATCTTCACTAACACTTGATATTTACAGATTTTAACAGTTTTATTTTATTTATTTATTTTATTTTTTGCTAACCTGTAAAGCACTAACTCACTGCAGATTTAAAATGTAGCTTAGGCTGGGCATGGTGGCTCATGCCTGTAATCCCAGTACTTTGGGAGGTGGAGGCCGGAGGATTGTTTGAGGCCAAGAGTTGGAGACCAGCCTGGGCAACACAGTTAGACTGTCTCTACAAAAAAAAATAATAATAACTGGGGATGGTGGCATGTGGGAGGTGAGGTGGGAGGATGCCTCAAGTCCAGGAGCTCAAGGTTACAGTGAGCTTTGATCACACGACTGCACTCCAGCCTGGGTGACAGAGCAAGACCCTGTCTCTAAAAAAAAAAAAAAAAAAAAAAAAAGTGGCTGGGCGCGGTGTCTCACACCTGTAATCCCAGCACTTTGGGAGGCCAAGGCGGGCCTCCTGAAACCATCCTGGCTAACATGGTGAAACCTCATCTCTACTAAAAAAAAGTACAAAAAAATTTGGCCGGGCGTGGTGCAGGTGCCTGTAGTCCCAGCTACTCGGGAGGCTGAGGCAGGAGAATGGCATGAACCCGGGAGGCGGAGCTTACAGTGAGCCGAGATTGGGCCACTGAACTCTAGCCTGGGCGACAGAGCGAGACTCCTCAAAAAAAAAAAAAAAAAAGAAAAGAAAAAAAAAAAACTAATTTAGTCTTCTGCCTCCTGGTGTTGCTTCTGTGCTTGTTTAGTTGGATCTGGTACTGTTACCGCAACATGACCGCAATTCTTTTTTTTTTTTTTTTCAGATGGAGTCTCGCTCTGTTGCCCAGGCTAGAGTGCAGTGGTGTGATCTGGGCTCACTGCAACCTCCACCTCTAGGGTTCAAGCGATTCTTATGCCTTAGCCTCCCAAATAGCTGGTACTACAGGTACATGCCACCATGCCCAGCAAATTTTTCTGATTTTATTTTTTTCAGACGGAGTCTTGCTCTGTTGCCCAGGCTGGAGTGTAGCAGCTCGATCTTGGCTCACTGAAATCTCCACCTCCCAGGTTCAAGCGATTCTCCTGCCTCAGCCTCCCGAGTAGCTGGGACTATAGGCGCCCACCACCACGCCCAGCTAATTTTTTGTATTTTTAATAGAAACAGGGTTTCGCTGGGCAGAGACCAGCTGCCCAGGCTGGTCTGAACTCCTGACCTCAAGTGATCTACCCACTTCAGCCTCCCAAAGTGCTGGGATTACAGGCATGCGTCACCATGCCTAGCCAACTTTTTGTATTTTTAGTAGAGTCAGGGCTTCATCATGTTTGCCAGGGTGGTCTCTAACTCCCAGCCTCAGGCATTCTGCATGCCTTAGACTCCCAGAGTGCTGAGATTACAGGCGGGGGCCACTGCGTTGGCCCTCAATTCTTTCAGGAAGCCCCAAAACCTGTGAAATGAACCATCCTCCCAGCTGTGCTTGCTTACAGAAACAAAGGCCAGGTGCCAATAATCAGGAACCAGCCACAAGATGAACTGAACTCAGCAGTGCTGCCTTGACCTGAATTACTGCTTCGCTGTTATACTAAAATCTCCACCCAGTGCGGAGAAGTGTACCCAGGTAAGCACAAACAGTACCAGGTGCAAAAAGAATCTACACACTCCAGCTGCTCCTGGAAGAATCCATCCAGGAATCCCTACCCTAGTCTTCACCTATCTGCCCAAAAAGCCCTTAAGATCCCCCTTTACCCAATGTCCAGGGAGCAGGTGCTTTGAGCAGAAGCTCCCCTTTTCCATTCCTTGACCAGTGAACGTTTCTGCTCTGCTTTACTGAACCCGGTTCCATTCTATTGGCGAGAACTGCACTGGGTGGGTCAAGTGACCCTCCCTTGAGGGCGGTAACAGTACCTGCTTTGTGAAGCAGCAGCTGCAGAGATTCTGGTGCTTGCCATGGCCATGGAAGCTCAAGGAAGAAGACTGGGAACAACGATCATATTTATTTGAAGGTGGTGTGGCAGGATAGTTCTGTAGCAGTTTAAGAGGCGTATACCACCTGGTAAACTGATGAGAGCCTATTGTGAATAACAGGGTTTGTCAATGAGGCAGATCAGATTCAGATTTGACGGGCAGCCAATCAATGAAACAGACATACCTGCACAGCTGGTAATGGAGGATGAATACATAATTGACGTGTTTCTGCAGGAGACAGGTGTCTACTAAAAAAGGAACCTACTACTTTACTCCAAACCTGTTCTTACAGACCAAGATTATATCCTCAATTAGAAAACTGCAATTTGGTTTCATTACATCCTGACCAATACAGTATAGTTCTATTTCATTTTCACCTTCTCCTTTCCTTTGTTGTACATACAGTAACGGGTGTGTGTGTACCAGCATATTGCATTTGTGTTTCTGTTTGTTTTTTGTAAAATGGCCAAAGGTGTGTTCTGATTACTGCTTCAGAACAAGTGGAGATGAGATTTCTGGGCGACAGAGCAAGACTCTTAAAAAAAAAAAAATAAATAAATAAATAAATAAAGGACATCAAGTGGAGATGGGACTGGGAAAATACTGGTTCTGTGAAAATACCCCCTTTCTCCATTCGTAGCATGCTCATTCATCTCTTATCTTTTTTTTCATATATTTTAGAAGGAATCTTGCTCTGTTGCCCAGGCTGGAGTGCAGTAGTGTAATCTTGGCCCACTGCAGCCTCCGCCTGCCAGGTTCAAGCAGGACTACAGGCATGTGCTACCACATTCGGCTTTTTTTTTTTTTTTTTTTTTTTGACAGAGTCTCACTCGGTCACCTAGGCGGAAGTGCAGTGGTGTGATCTCAGCTCACTGCAACCTCTGCCTCCTGGGTTCAAGTGATTCTCCTGCCTCAGCCTCCCAAGTAGCTGCGACTACAGGTGTGTGCCACCACGCCCAGCTAATTTTTGTATTTTTAGTAGAGACAGGGGTTTCACAATGTTGGCCAAGTTGGTCTCAAACTCCTGACTTCAAGTGACCCACCCGCCTTGGCCTCCCAAAGTGCTGGGATTACAGACATGAGCCACTGCACCCTGCTCAGTTCTTTTTTTTTTTTTTTTTTTTGAGACGGAGTCTCGCTCTGTCGCCCAGGCTGGAGTGCAGTGGCCGGATCTCAGCTCACTGCAAGCTCCGCCTCCCAGGTTCATGCCATTCTCCTGCCTCAGCCTCCTGAGTAGCTGGAACAACAGGCGCCCGCCACCACGCCCGGCTAGTTTTTTGTATTTTTTAGTAGAGACGGGGTTTCACCGTGTTCGCCAGGATGGTCTCGATCTCCTGACCTCGTGATCCGCCCGTCTCGGCCTCCCAAAGTGCTGGGATTACAGGCTTGAGCCACCGTGCCCGGCCCCGCTCAGTTCTTATCTCTACATTCCAGTAAGTTATATTTTGCTCTGTTTTTTTTTTTTTTTTTTTTTTTTTGAGACGGAGTCTCGCTGTGTCTCCCAGGCTGGAGTGCAGTGGCGTGATCTCGGCTCACTGCAAGCTCCGCCTCCCGGGTTCACGCCATTCTCCCGCCTCAGCCTCCCAAGTAGCTGAGACTACAGGCGCCCGCCACCACGCCCGGCTAGTTTTTTGTATTTTTAGTAGAGACGGGGTTTCACCATGTTAGCCAGGATAGTCTCGATCTCCTGACCTCGTGATCCACCCGCCTCGGCCTCCCAAAGTGCTGGGATTACAGGCTTGAGCCACCGCGCCCGGCCATTTTGCTCTGTTTTAACTAAAAAATGACAACATAAAAATCCTTCCATACTTCATTCAAAAAAACATTAAAAAACTGAAGAATTTTAATGTTTTTCATTTATCATTGTAAAAACCAAGGACAATTGTATAACTTAAAAAAAAATCCTTCTAATCAATGGATGATTTTTGTACATAGCTTTCACATGTAGGGTAATCTGTCTTTAAGTAGGGATGGATTACTTAAAAATAAACCAAATCATGCCTCACTGCAACCTTGACTTTCTGGGTTCAAGCAATCCTCCCAGCTTGGCCTCCCAAAGTGCTGACATTACAGGCGTGAGCCACTGTGTCTACAAAGTTTTGTGGTTTAAATAAATTTGGTTAAAATGAAAAAAAGTAATTTGTATTTCCTGGATTTCTAATAATGATATACTGGGCATCATGTTATATGTTTATTGGTCATTTCTATTTCCTCTTTTGGGAAGGGCCTAGTCAAGTCAGTTACCCCTGTTTTTTCCATTGTTCATCTTTTTCTCACTGAGTTGTAGGAGCTCCTGGGCATTAATCTTTTGTCAGTTTTGTTGTTGTTGTTTGTTTGTTTTTTGAGACAGAGTCTCGCTCTGTCGCCCAGGCTGGAGTGCAGTGGCCGGATCTTAGCTCATTGCAAGCTCCGCCTCCCGGGTTCACGACATTCTCCTGCCTCAGCCTCCAGAGTAGCTGAGACCACAGGCGCCCCCCACCACGCCCGGCTAATTTTTTGTATTTTTAGTAGAGACGGGGTTTCACTGTGTTAGCCAGGATGTTCTGGATCTCCTAACCTCGTGATCCGCCCGCCTCGGCCTCCCAAAGTGCTGGGATTACAGGCGTGAGCCACCGCGCCCTCCCGGTCCTTTTGTCAGTTTTAACACATCCTTTGTTAAGATAAAACACATCCTGTGTTTTATCTCTCTGGCTAACTTATTAGGTCAGTGGGTAAGAGGGCAGGGGTAGGAACTACAGAATAATAAATTAGACCAGTTAAGGGACGTTTAGGATTACAACTTCCTACTTCTCTTATAGCTCTCTCCACGTCTGTCAAAGTGTTGGAAGCGCAGCATCCCCTATAAATGCCTCTCTTAAAAAGTGAAGATTTTTACCCTTCCATAGGAGGGAAGGCTAGACAGGCTGTTTTTGTTTTGCTTTATTTTCTTTCTTTTTTTTTTTTTTTTTTTTTTTTTGAGACGGAGTCTCACGCTGTTGCCCAGGCTGGAGTGCAGTGGCGCGATCTCGGCTCACTGCAAGCTCCGCCTCCCGGTTCCGCCATTCTCCTGCCTCAGCCTCCTGAGTAGCTGGGACTACAGCGCCCGCCACCGCGCCGGCTAATTTTTTTTTTTTGTATTTTTAGTAGGACGGGTTCACTGTGGTCTCGATCTCCTGACCTTGTGATCCGCCCGCCTCGGCCTCCCAAAGTGCTGGGATTACAGGCTTGAGCCACCGCGCCCGGCCCGCTTTATTTTCTAGAAAACCAATCACAGGCCAGGTGCGGTGGTTCACGCCTGTAATCCAAGCCCTTTGGGAGGCCGAGGCGGGTGGATCACCTGAGGTCGGGAGTTGCCACGAGCCTGACCAACATGGAGAAACCCCGTCTCTACTAAAAATACAAAATTAACCAGGGGTCGTGACGCATGCCTGTAATCCTACCTACTCAGGAGGCTGAGGCAGGAGAATCGCTTGAACCGGGAGGCGGAGGTAGTGGTGAGCCGAGATGGCAACACTGCACTCCAGCCTGGGCAATAAGAGCGAAACTCCATTTCAAAACAAACAAACAAACAAACAAAAAAACACCAATCACAACAAGGCAGATAAAGAATGATGAGTTGTCAGATTTTGATACCTGCGAATGAGGGGCGTGGACGCACGATTGGGAACTCGCAACCGCTTATTGGTGACTGGTGCGGGGGAAGTTGTTTTATTTGCCCCAGGTGTTGCCCAGTGACCTCCGGCACGTGCGCCGCGTCTGTCCAGCTGCGCGGGAAGCTCAGGGGAGGGAGGGCCAGGTTCCATCCATTCAGTCCCTCCATACCTGGCATCCAGCCAAGCGCGCGGTTCCTTTACAGACTTTCCTGCAGGTCCACAGAAATGCAAGGATCCGCTGCTATGCTGGAATCAGAGTCTGGGAGGGGGAATGAGCAGTGCACCCAGGATGGTATTTTAGTTGTTGTCTTCAGGGCTAGCCCCGAGCCTCGTGCCCCGGCCTTCTCAGCCCTTACGGAATCTCTGGAGCGCGTGTCTTGACGAAGGGAAGTGGGGCCCCGCTGAAGCTGTCGAGGTGTCTCTGACGGGGGTGGGCTGGGGCCTGGAGAAGCCTCCATTTGCTCTGGGCTCTGCCTGGCAGGGACTTTGGAACCTGGCCTGCAGAGTTGCAAGAAGCGGGCGCGGGGCCAACACGCGCGCGGGGAAGCAGGTAGATCACAGGCTGCAAAGAAAACAGCACTGAGCGTCCTGGAGGACGCTAGAGCTTCAGGATAGTGTCCTTTCAGACCGTGGGATCGTCCCCTCCTCCCCGCACTCCACCTTCCCGCAACTAGACCACTAGGCGGAAGCTTCAGGTGGGCCCCGGGGTCCAAGTCCGCCGCCGGGAGGGCGGGGACGGGCCCCGAACCGCGGACTGCAGGGCGCGTCACGGCAGCTGCTCCTGATTGGCGGCCACGGCGGCCATGGGCGGGGCGCCCCGGGATTGGCGCCGCCTGTGGCCAGAGCCAGAGTAACGGGACTCCCAGCTGTGCGTCGCAGTCCCGACGCGAGGAAAGCTGGAGTCGGCGCCCAGCCTAGAGCCACCAAGTGGGAGCCAGGCCGGGACGCGCGCACCATGCCCTACCTGCTCATCAGCACCCAGATCCGCATGGTGAGTACCGGCCGCCCGGCGACTTGGAGCCAGGACCAGGCCCTAGGGAGCTGCGACCGCGCCTTCATGCCTCTCTCCTGGGCTGCACCCACCGGGGGCTGGACCGGGAACCCGCCCAGACACGCCCCTTTGGCGGGGGAGAGGGAGTGGAGAAGCTGGTTCAGCCTGGCTCCCGGGACTCAGCGAGCTCTGGCCGGCCCGGAGCCTTTATTGCCGCGAAAGGGCCCCGGTACGTGCGTCCCGGCAACAGGGCCACCTCCGGGCGCTTGCGGCTCCTGTCCTACCTGTTGGCGGGAGGGACCCAGGGAGCCCCGGCCTCACGCGCAGCACCCAGTGCCCTGCACAGAGCCGCTCCGCAGGGGAAAAAAGGGGGAATAACCTGAGGGAAAGAAGTTTGGAAAAGATAAGGACGTGCCAAGGCGCTAAAACCCCTGTGCCAAGTCCTTGACCCATAAACAGCAACTAGCTGCACCCTTAGGCGCTTCCAGGAAGGGCTATCCCTGAAGCTTTAGGAAAGGAAGAAAAGAAAGAACCCCCTGCTTGGGAAAAAAGGAAGGCGAGAAGGAGCCGTGCAGTTGGAGGTGGGAACACCATGAATTCGAAGTCATGTTCCTTTCTCTGGGCGCAGTTTCCTTATCTGTAAAAAGGTTCTGATTGCCCCTCAGGAGTCTCCTTTTAGCTTCAGAAAGATACGACTCTGCCCCCAGATGGGCAGCAAGGTGCTCCTCTGCCCCTGCCCACTACGGGTACACAACCCCCTTGGTGGGTTCACCACGCAACAGGAGAGCTCTTGCAGAGCGCTGGGCAGCGGTTTGTGAAGCAGCCATCTGCGCAGCTGTCAAAATGTGGATTCCTGGGTCCCTTCCCAGATCTCCCAAAACTCTGGGGCTTGGGAATCCATACTTGGAAATAGCCTCCCGATGTGATTCTTATTTTTTAAAAGACATGTCTTTATTGATATGTAATGTGCATACCATAAATTCTTTGATTTAAAGTGTACAATTCAGTGTTTTTTTAGTGTACTCAGAGTTGTGCAACCATCACCATAATCAGTTTTAGAACATTTTTTTTTTTTGAGACGGAGTCTTGCTCTGTTGCCCAGGCTGGAGTGCAGTGGCACAATCTCAGCTCACTGCAAGCTCCCTCTCCTGGGTTCACGCCATTCTCCTGCCTCAGCGTCCCGAGAAGCTGGGACTACAGGCGCCCGCCACCAGGCCTGGCTAATTTTTTTTCTATTTTTAGTAGAGATGGGGTTTCACCGTGTTTGCCAAGATGGTCTCGATCTCCTGACCTTGTGATCCGCCCGCCTCGGCCTCCCAAAGTGTTGGGATTACAGGTGTGAGCCACCGCGCCCGGCTAGAACATTTCTAATACCCCAAAAGGAAACCCTGTACCTACTGGCAGAAACTCTTGATTTCCCCCAAGTCCCTCAGCCCTAGATAACCACTAATTACCTTTCTGTGGTAATGTGATCTGTGTCTGGCTTCTTTCATTTACATAATGTTTATTTTGTTTTTTTTTTAAATGGAGTCTCACTCTGTCGCCCAGGCTGGAGTGCAGTGGTGCAATCATGGCTCACTGCAGCCTCAACCTCCTCCCACTTCAGCCTCCCGAGTAGCTGGGACTATAAGGCTGAGCTTTAAGGGACTAGGGAGGGCCCCTACATCGCTCCTCCTGATCATTGGTGGGCTCCACCCCTTCGCAGCTTGTGCTCAGCCCCTAAGGATTCTCGCTACTCTCTGTGGCCTTTACCTGAAGCTCACTCCGGACTAGCAGGCAGGGGAGGAAGGGGACGCAAAACCTTCTACCTCCTCCTGGCAGCCAGCCAAGCAGCCACTGTGCCTTACCTTGCAGGAGGTGGGCCCCACTATGGTGGGTGATGAACAGTCGGATCCAGAGCTGATGCAGCATCTGGGGGCTTCAAAGAGAAGTGTCTTGGGAAACAACTTGTAAGTAGCAGCCTCCCTCAGTATCCTCTCCCTGCCAGCCCCTATACCCGCCTCTGCTCCCTTTACACAACCTCCAAGCCAGGGACAGGGCCCAGCATCAGAGCCCCTGCCTGCATCCTGGGGCTCTGTTCTCCGGAGGAGTTGGTCCCATCTGTAGCCTCTCCAACATTCCCCCTCTCCTCCATGAGGCTTGCTCTGAAAGCTTTCCACATCCTTACTGGAAGCGCAGAAAACAGTCTGTTCCCTGGGTCTAGGACTCCACTAGCGGACTGTTGCTTGCCCTGCCCTCTCCTCTCTCAGCTGGACCCCATCAAGCCCAGACAGGCACAGAAAGAAAGGTTTTTGTAGTGAGGATCTGGCTGAGTCGCAAAGCTAAGTCCTAGAAGCAGGGAGCTGGGAGCCTGGGTCCTACCTCCAGGGTGGCTGCTGCCTGGGGACCTGGCCACTTCCCTTGGCATCCTTCCTAATGCCTCCATGTCTAAACTGTGACCACTGCTTCCATTCTTCCTCTCACCCCTGGAGGCAGGGAGAACCCAGGCTACACAGGCTCTCTGCAAAGAGTTGCCGGAGTGCGTCCCAGTTCAAAGAGGGGAAAGAGAAGGAGGGCTGATCCCAGCCCCTGGGTCAAGGCTGGGGGAAGGAAGCCAGCCCCCTCCCTTTGCCATGAGGCACCTGCCTCTCCATGCCCAGGTTGGGGCTTGAGCCCTTTGTCTGCTTCATGGTCCTTCGGCATCAATTAAACCTGAAAGGACCCCAGCATTATCCATGCTAGGGAGTGGCACACAGAGCCAGGCGTTACTGGGGCTCAGCCTTGTTGCTTCAGAACTGCAGGACAGCCAGGGCAGTGAGGGGGCCTGGAGGCTTGTTTTGTTTTGTTTTTGAGACGGAGTCTCGCTCTGTCGCCCAGGCTGGAGTGCAGTGGCCGGATCTCAGCTCACTGCAAGCTCCGCCTCCTGGATTCACACCATTCTCCTGCCTCAGCCTCCCGAGCAGCTGGGACTACAGGTGCCCGCCACCTCGCCCGGCTAATTTTTTTTGTATTTTTTAGTAGAGACGGGGTTTCACCGGGTTAGCCAGGATGGTCTCGATCTCCTGACCTCGTGATCCGCCTGCCTCGGCCTCCCAAAGTACTGGGATTACAGGCTTGAGCCACCGTGCCCGGCCTGTTTTGTTTTTTTGAAATGGAGTCTCACTCTGTCACCCAGGCTGGAGTGCAGTGGTGCAATCATGGCTCACTGCAGCCTCAACCTCCTCCCACTTGGAGGCCTGGGTGGGGAGCAAGCCCAGGGAGGGGAGGCAGCAGGGCTGTGGTCAGACTAACACGGTCTACCATCTGGGACGCTGGGGAACCTGCTTAACCCCTGTTTTCTCATGTATCAGTGGCCACAACAGTGGCACCTTCACTAGCTTGTTGGGAATAAATGAGATAGCTCGTGAAGTACCTAGAAGGGGAGGAGGCAGGGGGCGTGCACTTACCCAGCCAGCAAGTGTGAGTCACTACAAGAGTGGCCAGGCCGCCTGCCGCAGACACTAGCTTTGGACCAGGAGCTTGCTGTGTGCCCCTCCTCACCCAACCCATTCTGTCTCTTTGCAGTTATGAATACTACGTCAATGACCCTCCCCGCATAGTCCTGGACAAGCTGGAACGCAGGGGCTTCCGTGTGCTGAGCATGACGGGGGTGGGTCAGACGCTGGTGTGGTGCCTGCACAAGGAGTGACCTTCTCACGCTGATTTGCAGCCGGGGCGCCCCTGTGAAGGGGCTGCTGTGGGCCCTGAACTCCAAGCTCCTGCCTCACTGACCACCTTGCCCCTCTCTTCCCAAATCGTCACCGCCATGGGCCCAGCCCCAACAGGCAGTGAATGGCCTTCTCTGAAACCTTGCCTCAAGCAGTGGGAGAGGGCAGTGCCCGGTGCTCCCAGCTGCCCTCCTGCTTCGGGCCTGGGCCAAGGGCCTTGGGCAGGCCATGTTCCTTGGGCAGCTGCCCCGGGCCGGAGCTGGGCACCCCAGGGGCCCTGGTGCGTGGCTCCTGCATAGCTAGCCCAAGCCAATAAAGGGCAGTGATGAGTGGCTGCGCCTGTGCTCTGCTTGTGCACGGACTCTGGGACTCTCACCATGCAGAGTGTTTCCCTAGGGGTCTGCCCACTTCCTGGGAGGGGCACCAGGCCTGGGTGGAACCCTCTGCTGCAGAGCCCAGCACCCTATACCTATGCATGGAATAGAACTAAAGTCTTAAAAAAAAATTTATTGGTGACGTTGAAGAAAAGGGCTGAGGGATGGGTGGCTGGAGCCGGGGCTACGTGGGCGGCCCCTCCTGGTCCTCCTGCTGCATCCTTGCGATCAGCTGTTGCCGCTCAGCCGCCTGGCGCATGCGCATCATGACGAGACTCTCATAGTCCCTCTCTGACAGTACTGAGCCCTGTTGGACAGAGCAGGGATGGAGAAGGGTCAGGGACGGCAGGGCACAGCCCCACAGACTCCAGACTCCGAGGACGGTGCCGAGGCAGAGCTGTGGTCTAAGAGTCTCAGAGGGAGGAAAGCAGAGGAAGGGAAGGAACCTGGAGCATCCTTCTGGAATCCTGGCTTACCTGTGTCCCCCAGAACAAGTCACCTGTGGCCTCCAGGCCGGCTTCTACCCAGCCAGCTCCCCCTCCCTTTCCCTAGGCCCCGTCAGCTCTGGTCCATCTGTTTTCCAGGAATCACCTGTGGGCCCTCTAGCTAGGCCCTCGTCTCCTTCATTTCCTCTGGGCCCTTTATCCTTCACCCCTTTCCCTCTACCCCATGGCTTCCGCCTCTTAGGTTCCCAAGGAAGGGAAGTTGAGGTGCAGGGATGCACCTGGCTCTGCTGGGCACTGACCCCGGCTCTGTCCATGCCCGGTGCCCTGTGGTCTGGCTCCTGCTGAGGATGCAGAAGGGAGCCCCACCCTCGAAGGGGAGAAGGGCAAGCATGAGGCCAGCGTGCCTCTAAAACTACACACCAGGGCTCCTGGAGGGCAGGGCCCATGGCTCAAAGCTTTTATGAACTTGCCAGCACAGTGCAGGAGATTAAGGAATGCTGTATTTACATAATCAAAAGAATAATAAACAACCGTCTGAATGGGCCAAGGCTGTAGGGTGGAGAAGCAGCTCTACAGTGGGGCCTAGGCTGCCAACCCACACCCTGATAAGGTCTGCGGTGGGAATTAAACCTTTTCCTCCCTCAGTGCCGCTTAGGCTGTGTGATGATCATGTGGTCCCAACAGCTTCTCAGAGAAGTGTGAAGCCCACCTGAGATGGCACAGAAGTGAGCTAGGCCAGGGATTGCAGGATGCGGTGGCCTGCCCATAGCAGAGAGCTGTGGGGCCCTGATCCGCGGTACCCCACATGGGGACGCTCTCACGGAACAAGGCAGGAGGAAAATGTGGTGGTCAGTGACCCGGGGAATAGGAAGGGAGCGGCTGGGATTGAGATGCCAGGCCCGGGCCAGCAGGTTTGGAGTAAGGGGTGTAGAGAAACAGGAAGTGTTACTCAGCCTGGGTTCCCCTGCTCCTCCCGATAGCTGCACCTCTCCCCTCTCCCCTCTGCCCAGCTGCAGCAGTCCCAGCTAGGCCGGACTGTTCAGTGTGGCCCAGAGCACGGCTGACAATTCACAGCAGCCTCCCTGGCCCGGCTTCCCGCAAGAGAAGGAGGACCCTAGAGGAGGCCGGATAGCCAGAGGGGAAGGGCTGGAGCACGGCCAGGCAGCAGGCAGCATGGCCCGGCCCTCAACTGCCGCTCTCCTGGCAGGAGCCTATGAGGGTAAAACAAGGGAGGACAAGGAAATAGCAGCCAGGCTGATGGCAGGCCAAGAGAAGGCCACGTCTCCCGTCCCCAGGTTAATGCTGCTCTGCCAAGAAAACTTGGAGCCACCCTTGGCGGGCCCCCACCCCAACCCTAGGCAGCAGAGCCCGCCCGTCACACGCATGGGGCTGTTCCCCGTTAACACACCCTCTGCCTCCTTCCCTGATCCCGCAGGTTCTGCTCATGAGGGCCTGACAGCAGGGCTGAGTCACCCACACCAGCCACAGGTCGCTTCCTTCCCCAACAATCGTTCCACACGCCTGCCTTTCAATTAACTCCCACCCGCCCTGAACTCCTCCTACACAGACACTGTGGGCCGGGAGCCAGGCGCACCTGCCGGGGCCCAGGGTGGTGGGGCTGTGATGAGAAAGGAAGCCGCGTGGTGACACATAAAGCAGGGCTGCCCCCACATGAGTCCCCAGAGGAATTTTAAGCTCCCCATTGCCTTGGGGTGTTGGTCCCAGCTGCCCCATCCCTGCACGCGGATGCTGCAATTACCCAAGAGCATGAAACCTGGCTTCCCACCTGACTGAGTCAGCTGAGAACAAAAACACATCTCCACCGCCACAAACAGCCAAGCCACTAATCAGAGTCCGGGAGCCACTGGCAGAGAGGGCACGGCCCCACACTGCCCCAGAGACGCATAGGAGCCAGGCAAACACCAGGGCGAGTGAGCTCGGGCCATCTGCCGCCTGCCTGTGGAAGGAGCGCTCGCCAGCCTCACCTGGCCCGAGAAGGTCCATCTCTGCCTCCGCTGGGGCTGCCCTCATTCTGACTCCAGTAAGTGCTGCTGCTTCCACCTGGGGTTTTTTCCACTGCCCTATTCAGTAACCCGGCCACTCCTGTCCCTGTGGGAAACTCCTGCTGCCAGGAACTCCCAGCTGTGTGCTCTCCTGGACAAAAAAGTTCCTTCTTCCTGAGCCCTCCACTCACCATCCAAGATGTGGTCAAAGGTCTGTGCTGAGCGGAAACCCCAAGGCCTCTGCTCCTAGGGCAGCCTCCCCAGCTGCTGGCACTCACTGCCCCAGCAGGGACCGCATGCAACCTGGCTGCTCCTGAACACCTGTCTGCGGGCTCCCCTGGGCCCCATGGAGACCTGGCGGAAAGGCTCCTTCCGCAATGCCTCCTTCTTCAAGCGGCTGAGCCTGGGGCGGCCACGGCGGCTCCGGCGACAGGGCAGTGTGCTTAGCCAGGCCAGCACAGCGGGTGGGGACCACGAGGAGTATAGCAACCGAGAAGTCATCCGGGAGCTACGAGGGAGGCCAGATGGCCGGCGCCTGCCACTGTGGGGGGACGAGCAGCCCCGGGCCACCCTGCTGGCCCCACCCAAGCCCCCACGCCTCTACCGAGAGAGCTCAAGCTGCCCCAACATCCTGGAGCCCCCACCTGCCTACACAGCAGCCTACTCTGCCACCCTGCCATCGGCGCTCTCCCTGTCGAGCGCCCTCCACCAGCACTCAGAGAAGGGCCTTGTGGACACTCCCTGCTTCCAGAGGACACCTGCCCCAGACCTCAGTGATCCCTTCCTCTCCTTCAAAGTGGACCTGGGGATTTCACTTCTTGAGGAAGTTCTGCAGATGCTAAGGGAGCAGTTTCCCAGCGAGCCCAGCTTCTGAATGGGGTGAGGGTGGGCAAAGCCGGGGTGACTGGAAGAGCCAGAGGCTGGGGATTAAGGAAAGGGCAGGGACAGGACTCCAGGCCCATCGCTGGAGGGTTCAGGCAGGCAGAGCTCCTCCATCCTGGGGGAGGATTCCAGGATAGGAATCCAGGGCTCTGCCTGCTCTCTGGGTCCTGAAGCGTCCTCCCAGGCACCCCAGAGTGGAGGGACAGAGGCAAGCTGGAAATGTTGAGGAGGGGGGCCCCTTCCTGGCACGACCCCTGAAGGAAGCTGGCTATTCTGGGAAAGGGAGGCTATGTGTAGCAACCACAGGAACCAGGTAGAGACTGGCAGAGCCAGAAGGTGGCACGGGGTCAGATCAGGGAGTGGGAGGACACAGACTGGGCAGAAGAGATGAGTGCCCTGTGCCAGCCTCTTTGGAAGCCAGCGTCAACAGAGAGAGGTCACAGGACAAGCCTGGGTAAAAGCAGTCCAACCCAGGCGGAAGAGGAAAGTGGGAAGGCCCAGGAAGAAAGGGGAGACAGGCCTGACCCTGTCTAATCTGGTGGTCACTCACTGCATGACACCGAATTGAAATTAAGTAACAATTCAGTTCCTCACTTGCACCATTATTCCAGATTCCACATTCCAAACGGCTGGTGGCCACGCATGATTAATGGCTGCCACACTGGTTGGTGCAGAATGGACGCGAACATCGCTGCACAAAGTTCTACTGGACAGCGCTGGCTAGACCGTGGCCTGGAGCCACCAGCAAAGGGGAGACGCATACAGGGGCTGGCCACATAGGAAGAGATAGGTAGAGAGAGAGTGTAACTTAGGAAAAGACTAGGCAAATCCTTAGCAGAAATGAGGATGTGGTTCAGTCTGCCAACACAGCTACCTGGAGCAATCCCTGGTGAAGGCAGCTCTAGAGAATGCCAGCCAAAGGCACGCGCACGGCTTACAAAGGGGTGCTTTGGGGAATTCCCAGAATTATTAGTGTGGGAGCCCTGGCAGATTTCCTTCCTTGAAGAGAGGAGAACTGGATCCAGGGATGGGCATTCAATGGCGAAGCGGCACAGCTGGTCTCCAGACCTGTCTCCCAGGATTAGGGAGTTCTGCCGCCTGAACCCTCTGACGATGTGCCTGCCAACCAGGCCAAGCCCACCGGGTCAAAGCCACAGCACAGGCTGCACTATGGCCCCACCCCATGGCCTCACCAGAACACAGAAACCAGAGCCCAGCAGCACTGGCGGGGCCGTGTGTTGGTGGCCCCCAGGCCTCACTAATAGTAGCAAAGGGGAGAGGAAGCTCTGACACTCACCATTTCTACAACCCAAATCGGCGGCCTCCCTCTCTCCTCTAGTGTATAGGCACCGAGCTGTGGCTACAGCAGAGAATGAATAAACTTCTAACACAATCTATGGAGTGTTATCTGGGGCTGTGAAATGCTGGGACTTGAAGGTGGGAATGAGGTCTCTAAAGCAGGGCCCTGAGTCAGGCCCAGGCCAGTTTGTTTCCCTCCATCCAGGATCTGGGACATACTTGCAGAAAGCTGCTTTCCAGTCACCCCCATCAAGTGGAGGGGCAGGCAGGGCAGCAGGCTGGCGTGGGTAAGAGCAGCCTCCTGCCAGCCTGCCAAGGGGCTGTGGACACACCAGCCAGGCCCTAGGCCACTGCAGAGAAGGGGAGAACCAGGTTGCTAGATCTTGCCCCCAAAGCAATCTGTTCAACCAAGGTGGGGACAGGTGTGGCCAGGAGCCCCAAAGCCCCAGCCTTTGTATCCAGGCCAAAAGCCACCAGAGCCATGGTTGTGGGTCGGAGGTTACACACAAGCTGGAAGGTCTACGCTTCACCTCAGGCAGGGCACCCAGACTCTGGGCAGGCAGCACTCTGTGTCAGCAGGGTAGCCAAGGTTACTTTTATTTTTTGAGATGGAGTCTCGCTCCGTTGCCCAGGCTGGAGTGCAGTGGCGTGATCTCGGCTCACTGCAAGCTCCGCCTCCCAGGTTAAAGCAATTCTCCTGCCTCAGCCTCCTGAGTAGCTGGGATTACAGATGTGCACCAACATGCCCACCTGATTTTTGTGTTTTTGTAGAGATGGGGTTTCACTATGTTGGTCAGGCTGGTCTTGAACTCCTGACCTCAGGTGATCCGCCCCCCTCGGCCTCCCAAAGTGCTGGGATTACAGGCGTGAGCCACTGCACCCAGCCTGCCAGGGTTACTTCTAAGAGGAGACATTGCCTCTTGACAGTCGGTCCCTGTCTGGGGCAGCCAGGGACATACCCGGAAAACTGAAGTGCTGGGAAGGAAGTGGCTGCCGTAGTCACCTGCCCCTTCTCTGCAGCACTGGGTCGTCTAAGCTCCAAATGCTTCACGCACCACAACCAAGCAACCTGAGGGCCAGGAAGATCCCTTTGGTGAGAAGGAGAGTCCCAACAGGAGACCAGATACGGAGAGAAAGCAAGGTCTAAGAATACAGTGTGGGTGGGGCCTCTTTGGCCCTCAGAGAGGAAAAGGGGTCAAGGTGAAATCATAGCCCCTTTGGCCTGGGTTGGTGGACCTGCCAAGCTCACTCTAGGACCCAAGACCTGAATTTGGGAGGAAAGAGCCTGAGAGGAGCCCAGGTAGGAGGAAGAGCTCCGAGACCTGAGTGTCCAGCCGGGCGAGGCCTGACTCCTCACCTTTGACAGTCCTGAGTGGCTGCGGCCCACGGCACCCTGGGGCTGTCCCTCCAACCAGGAAATCTTCAGAGGGTTATCCACCAGGCCAACTTCATTCTGGACAGCCAGCTCCTGCCAAACACAGCATCTAGTCCTGTCCCATCCATCGAGTCAGCTATAAAGAGGCTGTCTCTACCCCCAGTGAGAACAGAACCAGCGTTCTAGCCCTCTAAGCAGAGATGCCAACCTCAGCAGTCTTCAAGTGATGGGCGTTAACACTTTGGCCTTTCCTGCGGGAGAGGGGATTGGGGGGAGCTTTCTGATGTGGGGAGGTGAGGAGCACAAAGGGTGAAAAGGCAGTGCCGGGGCTCACAGCCCCGAGGGGTGCAGGTGGAGGGTGTGAAGCCACCAGCAGGGAGCAGAGTCAAGTCTGTGCTCTCCTTTCTCCCCAGAGCACCCCCCATCCATCCCTTTACACATGGTGCCTCTATTTCCAGGAGTCAGGGGCCCCTGGGAGGAGCCTTGGCTCTAAGCTGGCCCGGAGATTCCCCAGGAGTGTGGACCACCTAACTCAGAGGTCCCACAGAATTGGGTCCCTGCCCCAGAATGACAGGGCCACGAGGGCCCCCCAAGCCTCATGCAGCACTCACCGCCGCCTTGACAGTTGCAAACTCCACCACAGCAGTGCCTGGCTTCTTACTGGAAAGCACCAGGTTGAGAACCTCGCCATACTGTGGGGACAAAGGGGTCCTAATGAGCATGACTTGGCCTTCAGGATGGCCCAGGTCATGCCAGAGACAAGCCTGGGCTACCTTGAAGTCCATGGGGCTTTTTCAGGTGGGAGATAACTTCTTGCCCCACCTACTTATCTTAGTGAAGTGAGATGAGAGATAGGAAAGAAATTTTTTTCTAGGAACACAGAGCAGCAAAGGAATGATGAGCAAAGCCCTGGTGACTTAGACTGACATATTTCACGCACAGCGTCCTTGCTGGTTGAACGTGGTGGAAAGTTTTTGTGCCAGATACCCACCTCATCCCTCCCAACCCACTCAGCCAAGCTCTTTGCTTCTAAGGGTAAGGGTTAGACTGAGGTAGCAAAGGACGGAGGGCTGGAAGGGAGCACATGGCCACACAAGTGAAAGGAGGGCTGTAGCCTGGGGAGAAGTCTTTAGGTCATCCCATGGTCTACAAGACAGGAAAAAAAAAAAAAAAGCAGGTAGATATGTTAAGGGAAGTTCAGGCATTGAGAGCAGAGGCCTAGGGTGTGGGCTGAGATGTGGACTGAGACGATAGGAAAGACTGGACGTCAACAGGGCAGACCTTTTGCAAAAGCCGTAGGAGGACGTCTTTGGAGTAGCCACTTTTTGACTCATCCTCCTTCTTGCACTTCCATTTTAGCTGAAAAGACAGACTCATGAAACACCGATTCTTGGCTGAACAGTACCTCACCCCACGACAGCTTGACAGTCTGAGCAGACATCCTCCCACCCTCCAAGTCTCCAAGGCTCCTGCAATCTAGGGAGTGCCAGCAGAAACATTTTCCCGGTGGGAACTTGTAGGCAGGATGGCCTGCTCACCCCAGGGACGCTTCCTGCCCAGGAAGACCCTCTCCTGAGAGGGCTTCTAGGGAATGCTCTGCCCTGTGATCAGGGCTAAAAGCAGCCTTTCGTGGCAAGCTCTGGTCTCCAGGCGGCTGGAACATGGAGGGAGGTGGTAATGGTGCTGGCTCCACGCAGATCCAGTGGCCCCACCAGAAACCCTCGAGCCACAGGAAGCATCTATTCCTGCTGAGAGGAGGTGGTGAGTGTGAGGCGGCCCACAGACCCTACCCAGGCTCACCTTTAGTTTGGGGGTTCCTTGGCCTTCAGTATTTTCTGCCTTTCCTAGAAATATTGGGAAAAGAAGAAAAGTAGAATATGTCAGAGTCTCCCAAAGGAGATGCAGCCCAGAGCCAGAAGGGTCTGGAAAGGGTCACTCCTGACCAAGGGGTGCCCAATACCTGCCCAGCTCTGGTGAGGGCCTGGTGGGGAAAGTAGATGCCCATCCCCAGAAAAGCTGCCACCCCAGGGTGGTCTACCCAGCTGCCTCCTGAAGGCCACCTGTCAGCACTCTCTGAATGGAGAGCTAGGAACACCTTCTAGGGGCAGGAGGCAGAGACAGACCATGAGGTTCTACGGAAACAAAGTGTCCCAGAGTCCCTCCCTGTGGTGATCTGCCCCAAAACAGGGCCAGCTCTGCTTGGGACTAAGACAAATGTGGCCAGGAGATCTCAGGCAGAGTAAAAAGCAAATAGGCCCCAGAGAACTGAGAGGAAGAGGGGATCTGCATGTGTCAGAGTAAGGTACCATGGGGTGACCCCAGGGTCCTAGCAGGTAGAAGCCTCCACAGCGGCTCCACCGAGCAGCCAGCATGGCCACTCTGAGCAGTCTGGAGCTGCCTTGGAGGGGAGATAGGCGGGGTGATGGATCTGCACCTCTCAACCTGTGGTCATGCTCCTGGCGTATCTGCTCCCGGATCAGCCTCTGCTGTTCCTCCAGCTGCCGAGAACCCTCTTCTCTCAGGCGTTCGATCTGCAGAGCAGGGGGTGGGGGTGACAATTCTGTGCAGGTCCAATTCCAGGCTGGCTCACCTTGTAAAAAGTCCCTGGGAGCTTCCACCTGCAAGCTAGGGCTCAGCAACCTGTGGGTGGGACAGAGCACCCAGCTCCCACTGAAGGTGCAAAGAGCATGCCCTCTCCAGCCATGGCGACCACCAAGTCCATCCTCCCCGCCTCCTCCTGCAGGTGGCCCTCTGGCCAGTGTGCCTGAGTGCTCACCTCTTGCTCTAGTGTCCTGGTGCTCCGGCTCTCCTCTTCCTCCTCACTCTCCTGGGCCTGGGCCTGCCGCTCCCGGGCCTCCAGGTCTAGGCACAAGGGTTGAATGACCAAACTGCTGGTCTGTTCAGTTTCCACGTGGCCTCGGCCCACCTCAGCTCTGGCTGCCTCCGCAAAGTCTCAATCACGATGAGACCATACAGTAACTCTGCCCCCTCCCTCCATGCCCAAGCCCCCGAGTCAATTTCCATTGAGAAAAATCACAGCACAGAAGTATGGGGTCTAGCAGAGTGGCCAGGGGTCTGGAAGAGTTAAAAACAGCTCACACTGACCAAGCTGGTTCTCTCTAGTGAACAGGGTGTAGGTGGTGCTTATGTCAGCAGCCCAGGGCCATGTGTCAGGGGTGCCAATGGGCGGAGCTGCTGGGTTTGATTCCTGTGGTTCGGCACTACAGCTTGACCTCTGGCCTTGCTTTGGCTTTGATTCTTTTCACACACTGAGCTCAAGTTCTCACTGTCCCCTTTAGCTCCCACCTCAGCTCACATTTACCAAGCCTCACTGTGGACCTGGCTACAGGGATGGGCAGAGTGTTAGGGCATCACCCCGGGTCCCATACTATGTGAGCTCATTACCTTCCAAGGGAAACCTGCTTGCAACCATGTGCCAGGCCAGCTGCTGTGAGAAACCCTTCTCTTAGGCCAGGGAAGTTTGTGCACTTTACTTACTTAGAATCTCCTTTTCTCTCTCTCTTTTTTTTTTTTGAGATGGAGTCTCCCAGCACTTGCTTTTTTTTTAATAGAGAAATGGATATTGGGATGCTATATGCACACATTAAAATATACAGATGTTGAAGAGCAAGAGGAAAAGGAGAAAACTTACGTAAAGAATGCTTGGACTGGGCCAGGCACAGTGGCTCACACCTGTAATCATAGCACTTTGGAAGGCCGAGGGGGGTGGATCACCTGAGGTCAGGAGTTCAAGACCGGCCTAGCCAATGTGGCAAAACCCTGTCTCTACTAAAAATACAAAAATTAGCTGGGTGTGGTGGAACGCAATTTAGTCCCAGCTACTCGGGAGGCTAAGGTAGGAGAATCGCTTGAACTCAGGAGGCAGAGGTTGAAGTGAGCCGAGATTGTGCCACTGCACTCCAGCCTGGGCAACAAGAGCGAAACTCCATTTCAAAAAAAAAAAAAAAAAGGCTGGGTGCTGTGGTTCACGCCTGTAATCCCAGCACTTTGGGAGGCCAAGGCGGGCGGATCACGAGGTCAGCAGATCGAGACCATCCTGGTTAACATGGTGAAACCCCATCTCTACTAAAAATACAAAAAATTAGCCAGGCGTGGTGGCGGGCGTCTGTAGTCCCAGCTACTCGGGAGACTGAGGCAGGAGAATGGTGTGAACCTGGGAGGCGGAGCTTGCAGTGAGCCGAGATTGTGCCACTGCACTCCAGCCTGGGCCACAGAGGGAGACTCTGTCTCAAAAATTAAAAAAAAAAAAAGTGCTTGGACCATGCTGCTATAACCAGTGATGTTTTTTTAAGTGAGAAAAAAAAAAAAAATGCTTGTACCAATCTTATTGGGTTGATGAAAATGTTCCAAATCTGATTTATAGTCAGAGTTGCATCATTTGGTAAATTTACGAAAAATCATTGAAGTGTACACTTGAAATGGGTTGATGTTATGATATACAAAGAATACCTCAATAAAGCTATTAGAGAAGAGAAAGCCTGGACCTCTTTGAATCCTTCTGAGGGAGCTTCTCAAAGTGAAAACTCTGGGTAGGAACTGGGTTTAGAACAAATTAAAAGACCCAGCCAGGCACAGTGGCTTGCACCTGTAGTCCCAGGTACTCAGGAGGCTGAGGCAGAAGAACTGCTTGAGCCCAGGAGTTTGAGGCTGCAGTGAGCCATGATGGTGCCACCCTAGCCTGGGTGACAGTACAAAACCCCATTTCTCTATTAAAAAATAAAAAAAAAAAGATTCAGCCAGAAATGGTGAATACAAGCACCAGTTTTTTGTTTGTTTGTTTGTTTTTTGAGATGGAGTCTTGCTCTGTTGCTCAGGCTACAGTGCAGCAGCGTGATCTCGGCTCATTGCAACCTCTGCCTCCCGGGTACAAAGCAATTCTCTGCCTCAGCTTCTCGAGTAGCTGGGATTACAGGCGCCCGCCACCACACCCGGCTAAATTTTGTTTTTTTAGTAGAGAAGGAGTTTTACCATCTTGGCCAGGCTGGTCTTGAACTCCTGACCTCGTGATCCACCTCAGCCTCCCAAAGTGCTGCAATTACAGGTGTGAGCCACCGCACCCGGCCACAAGCACCAATTTTACTCACCCTGGATAAGTTTAAATCCCAGCTCCAGCAAGCTCTTAAACTTGTGGTGCCTTAGCTCCTTTGCCTATAAAAAATGGCTTCAGAGGCCAGGTGCGGCAGTGCACAGTTGTAATCCCAGCACTTTGGGAGGCTGAGGTGGATAGCTTGAGGCCAAGAGTTTAAGACCAGCCTGGCCAACATTGTGAAACTCCATCTCCACAAAAATTGAACAAAATTAGCTGGGCATGGTGGTACACGTCTGTAGTCCCACTACTCGGGAGGCTGAGGAACCAGAATCACTTGAACCCAGGGGGTGGGGGTTGCAGTGAGCTGAGATCGTGCCACTGCTCTCCAGCCTAGGTGACAGGGTAAGACCCTGTCTCAAAAAACCGTGTTTTTTTTTTTTTTTTTTTTTGAGACGGAGTCTCGCTCTGTCGCCCAGGCTGGAGGGCAGTGGCGCGATCTCGGCTCACTGCAAGCTCCGCCTCCCGGGTTCACGCCATTCTCCTGCCTCAGCCTCCCGAGTAGCTGGGACTACAGGTGCCCGCCACGGCGCCCAGCTAATTTTTTTTGTATTTTTTTAGTAGAGCCGGGGTTTCACCGTGATAGCCAGATTGGTCTCCATCTCCTGACCTTGTGATCCACCCGCCTCGGCCTCCCAAAGTGCTGGGATTACAGGCGTGAGCCACCGCGCCCGGCCCCAAAAAACCATGTTTTTAAAAAAGGTTTAGTACCCACACTTCCTTGTACAGTTATGACAATTAAAGGGACAATAAGGCATTTGTCACATGCTTAGCTAATATTAAACCTCATTATTATTCCTAAGAGTGTCTTTAGGAACCAACCTCTAAGAGCAGCATTTTGCCCAGAGCCTGAGCCAAAAGGCTTTGAGATGAGTTGCTGGAAGTGAAGCTTCAGGTGAGGGAGATGAATGAAAATGGCCGCAGGAAACCACAGGCCACCGAGCAGTATGATGGCACCTACCAAGCTTCACTTTCTTCCTTTTTTCATCTAGTTTCTGGGTCCTCTCTGCTGCCTGCTTCTTGGCTTTCCTGACCTTGTCATATGCAGCCTGGCAGGAGAAAGGGGCACAGGGCAGAGGGTCAGCCGGAGAGTAAAGACAGAGCCCCAGCAATCTGCCTGGCCCCTAGCCCAAGGGCCATCAGAGTGGCAGCCTGGTGACTGGGTCTCCTGGGCTGAGACAGCAAGGACTGTGCCACATGGCAAAGGGCAGAGGACTGAGGTTGAGGGGCAGCAGTAGTCTCTAATCAAGGGGGACGATTCCGATGAAGGAGGCTATGCTTACCCTTGCTGCAGCATCAGTCAGCACCTCCAAGGCCTGAGAAAGCTGGTGGAAGAGTTCAGCTAAACATAAGGATCAAAAAGAGAGAGAAGAAAAATAAAGACTTTGTGATGGTGTGCTCCCTCAAAAAAACAAACAAACAAAAAACACTTAAAAAAAGCCACAGGATGGCAGAAAAGCCGACATCAGCAGATGACAGACCAATTAGGAGGGGTGAGCACCTCAGCAACTGACCAGACACCCCTAACATGAAGGGAAGCCCTGGGACCCACGGCCCGGAGCCAGGCTGTGTGTAAGTACACCCCACAGCACTCACGTGCAGAGCGTACATCAGGAAACACAGGCCTGGGTGAGCGGCTCTTTCTCCCCATGCCCTCAGAAGAGTCTCACCTGCTCTTGGATTATCTGGATTTTTGTCTGGGTGGCAGGAGAGGGCCTTCTGCCTATATGCCTTCTTTACCTGGAAGAGTCAGACACAAGACACTGTCATTCACTCTCATCCCAGGGACAAACAGGAAAACCTTGCTCAATGGGTAAGGGGAATCCCACACACACCTAAAAGAGAAGCTGCTGACGCCCACCTCCTAGCCACCGGGGAGGCTTGCAATGAAGGAGGCCAAGGCCATGGAAGGAGCGAGCCACTGTCGCCCAGCCTAGGAGCTGGGCCCACTTCCTGCCAAGTGCTCAGTCTCACCACTGCAGATGTCCACGGGCCGCTGGAACAGGCAGGAGCACAGTACCCTGCTTTCTCTACAGCCACTCGCAGACAGGTACTCTACACATTCTTGGTGGGCCTATAAACTGGGGCAACCTATCTGGAGGAAAATTCAGCCATCAAAATTTAAAATGTTCTTTCCCTTTAACCCAGTCCTAGGAATCTGGACTTGTAGAAGTACGGCAAAATAAATATACAAGGATGCTTTCTATAACACTGTTGATACCAGCCAGCCAAGATCTCCATCAACAGGGAGACTTATTTAAAAGATGATGATTGGCCGGGCGCAGTGGCTCACGCCCATAATCCCAGCACTTTGGGAGGCTGAGGTGGACAGATCACCTGAGGTCAGGAGTTCGAGACCAGCCTAACTAACATAGTGAAACCCCGTCTCTACTAAAAATACAGAAATTCGCTGGGTGTACTAGCAGGCACCTGTAATCCCAGCTACTCGGGAGGCTGAGGCAGGAGAATTGCTTGAACCCAGGAGGCAGAGGTTGCAGTGAGCCGAAATCACGCCACTACACTCCAGCCTGGCGACAGAGCAAGATTCTGTCTCAAATAAAATAAAAGATTATGATTGAGGCCAGGCATGGCGGCTTATGCCTGTAATCATAACACTTTGGGAGGCCGAGGCGGGTGGGTCACTTGAGGTCAGGAGTTGGAGACCAGCCTGGCCAACATGGCGAAACCTGGTCTCTACTAAAAATACAAAAATTAGCTGGGTGTGATGGCATATTTGCCTGTAATTCCAGCTACTTGGGAGGCTGAGGCATGAGAATAGCTTGATTCATGGGGGAGGCACAGGCTGCAGTGAACCAAGATTGTGCCACTGCACTCCAGCCTGGGCGACACAGCGAGACTCTGTCTCAAAAAAAAAAAAAAAAAAGATTACGATTGGCCAGACATGGTGGCTCATGCCTGTAATCCTGGCACTTTGGGAGGCTGAGGTGGGCGGATCATTTGAGGTCAGGAGTTCAAGACCAGCCTGGCCAACATGGCAAAACCCTGTCTCTATTAAAAACACAAAAATAAGCTGGCCATGGTGGCGTGCACCTGTAGACCCAGCTGCTTGGGAGACTGAGGCAGAAGACTCGCTTAAGCCCCAGAGGCAGACGTTGCAGTGAGCCAAGATCATGCCATTGCACTCCAGCCTGAGTGACAGAGGAAGACCCTGTCTCAAAAAAATAACAAAAAATAAATTTAAAAAAGTTTGTTCAGGAATTTGCTACGCTTATTAAAATTTTTTTTAAATAAAAGATTATAATAGACAGAGGTATCCATGTTCTGACATAGATCTTATTATAAACTTTTGAGTTTAGGCTGGGTGCAGTGGCTCAAGCCTGTAATCCCAGCACTTTGGGAGGCCAAGATGGGTGGATCATGAGGTCAGGAGATCGAGACCATCCTGGCTAACACGGTGAAACCCTGTCTCTACTAAAAATACAAAATTAGCCGGGCATGGTGGCGGGCGCCTGTAGTCCCAGCTACACAGGAAGCTTAGGCAGGAGAATGGTGTGAACCCGGGAGGCGGAGGTTGCAGTGAGCCGAGATCGCACCACTGCACTCCAGCCTGGGCAACAGAGCAAGACTGTGTCTCAAAAAACAAACAACAACAAAAAAAAACTTTTGAGTTTAAAACAAACAAATGGCCTGGGTGCAGTGGCTCACACCTGTAATCCCAGCACTTTGGGAAGCTGAGGTGGGAGGATTGCTTAAGCTCAGGAGTGTAAGACCAGCCTGAGCAATATAGTAAGACCTCATTGCTGCTAAAAATAAATTAGCCAGGCGCGGTGGCTCATGCATGTAATCCCAGCACTCTGAGGGGCCAAGGAGGGAGGATCACGAGGTCAGGAGATCAAGACCATTCTGGCTAACACGGTGAAACCCAGCCTCTACTAAAAATACAAAAAATTAGCCGGGCATGGTAGCATGTGCCTGTAGTCCCAGCTACTCAGGAGGCTGAGGCAGGAGAATTGCTTGAACCTGGGAGGCAGAGGCTGCAGTGAGCTGAGATCATGCCATTGCACTCCAGCCTGGGCGAGCGAGACTCTGTCTCAAAAAAAAAATTTTTTTTGTCAGATGTGCTGGTGCATGCATGTAGTCCCAGCTACTCAGGGGGCTGAGGTGAGAGGATCGCTTGAGCCTAGGAGTTCCAGCCCAGCCTGGGCAACATGGCAAGACCTCATCACTACAAAAATTTTTTAAACATGAGCCAGGTGTGGTAACATGTGCCTTTGTCCCCCTACTCAGGAGGCTGAGGTGGGAGGCTCACTGGAGCCCGGGAGGATGAAGCTGTAGTGAGCATGTTCACACCATTGCACTTCAGCCTAGGTGACAGAGTGAGACCTTGTCTCAAAAAAAAAAAAAAATTAAATCAAATTAAAATAAAAAATTAGCTGGGCATAGTGGTGCGTGCCTCTAATACCAGCTACTAAGGAAGCTGAGGCGGGAGGATCACCTCAGCCAAGGATTTTGAGGCTGCAGTGAGCTATGATGATGCCACTGCCCTCCAGCCTGGGTGACAGAGCAAGACCCTCTCTCTTAAATAAATAGAAAGAAACCCCAATATTTCTTACATAAGTAAAAATAAACACAGCTACCAAGATTCTCTTTCGTGTGTTACCTAATAGCTGTTGTAAGTGAAGAAAGGGTACACAACCCCAGAATCCGTCCTCCGCCTCCAAGGCCTTTGCTTTCTCCCTTCTGCTCGGTGTGTTACCTGCTGCTCAAACCTCCTGGAGGAAGAGCTAAGCAGATTGGATTTCTAAGCTTCCAAGGTGGACGCAAGAAACGCTTCTATGCCCAAGTGTGCTACCTAAGGCCTTTCAGAGGTAAGCAGCCAGCATCCACCAGGTGAACACCTGCTGGGCAACTCCTAAGTCCACGAGGCAGCCACAGGCCCAGGACCTCCAGGGGTGTGCTGCCACCTGCTGGGCCACAGCCAGGGCACCTGCCAGGGCAACCCAAGCTGTTTGGTTCTCCCGACTGGACTGCGCTGGAGGCAGCAGGAACCACCCAGGACAGGCGCTGGGCAGAGAGGGTGTAGACGTGCCGCCCGCCTTCCCAATCGCCCACTGAAGCACACCTGCCCTGCTGCTCACTTCCCACCCTAACCCTCCCTCCCTAGCTCTGTTTTCACTACAAAAAAGAACAGTATTAAGGGAAAGGAGGTGCTAGCTTAAGACAGTGTCATCTTTACTTTTTAGGTCGCTTATCATTCGTCTTTTCTCTTTTGCTCTCTTTGCCTGCTTTATTGTGCCCCCAGCCTCTTTCCTTTACTGAACATTTTTTATATTTCAGGGCCCTTTGTTTGCTTTTTTCCAACAAGTAAAACAATACCAAAAATATTATAAAGATGTTCTTTCTCAATGTCCCCAGCCCTCTGACATCAAGGTTGGTTCCCACACATATAAGCACCTACACACACTGATAGGAGTCTGTTGGGTGTTTGTTCCTAGCCTCTGGGCCCCTCCTCTCTGATCCTATCTCCACCCTCTCTCTGGGATGGGTGAGAGGACGGGAGGGGGAGGTGGTCCATGTCCCAGTATCTGTGGCATCACCTGCAACTCTACCTTCAAGATGAACTTCCTCAGGACTAGGAGTAGTAGTCTTGCCCCAGGGATGTAGGCGGGTTTTGTGGAAGATGTTTTATTTTGTATCATGGGGCTCTTTCAAAGTGGGGTAGGCTGGGCGCGCGTGGCTCATGCCTGTAATCCCATTGCTTTGGGAGGCCGAGGTGGGTGGATCACTTAAGGTCTGGAATTTGAGACCAGCCTGGCCAACATGGTGAAACCCTGTATCTACTAAAAATATAAAAATTAGCTGGGAGTGGTGGCGCATGCTTGTAATCCCAGCTACTTGGGAAGCTGAGGCAGAAGAATCACTTGAATCCAGGAGGCAGAGGCTATAGTGAGCTGAGATTGTGTCACTGCACTCCAGCCTGGGTGACAGAGTAAGGCTCTGTCTCAAAAAAAATAAATAAATAAAATGGTTTGTATGTTCCTTTTTGTAAATCTGAGAGAGGGAGTAGGAGTGAGTGTGAAGAAGGAGGAGCAGGCTGGGTGTGGTGGCTCATGCCTGTTATCCCAGCACTTTGGGAGGCCGAGGAGGGCCGATCACTTGAGGTCAGGAATTCGAGATCAGCCTGGCCAACGTGGTAAAACCCTGTCTCTATCAAAAATACAAAAATTAGCTGGGTGTGGTGGCACACGCCTGTAGTCCCAGCTACTAGGGAGGCTGAGGCAGGAATCTGGGAGGCAGAGGCTACAGTAAGCCGAGATTGCGCCACTGCACTCCAGCCTGGGCGACAAAAGTAAAATTCTATCTCAAAAAAAAGAAGAAGAAGAAGAAGAAGGAGCAGTAAGAAAGCAAGACAGAAGCGGTGTCCAGCAGTGGCATCTCCTTCGTTTTCTTTCCTTTTTTTGAGAGAAGGCTTTCTGAATTTTATTCTAAGGGAATGATAAATATTGTTTTGTGTTTCATAATTTATTTTGAGTATTGGAAGTTTGGTTTTTCACTGTAATAGGAAAATAAAATTATTCAAACTGAAAAATAATTATGTAATAATGATAAATTAATCTACATATTAATTTGCTTCCTTGTCAATTCTCTTTCCAGAATGTGTTCCTTTAATAAGCAACTTGAAGAAGCTGATTGGAAAAAAAAAAAAAAAAAGTTAAGTGTCTTTAAGAGTCTCATCAGATTTTATTTGATGCAACTAGTTACAACTGTAACAAGGTTCT